ACCCCCTGGGATGTGTGTCCCCCCAGCCGTGCTCTGGAAGAGGGCAGCCCCGCTGGGGCCCATGCCCAACGAGGACGTGGACGTGGGGAAGCTGGAGGTGCTGCAGAGGTACCGCAGCTTCGCGCGCTACCTGCGGCAGGCGGAGCGCGCGGGCCGGGAGCCGCGCTGGTGGAACACCTACCACAAACACACCAACCCCCCTGCAGGTACCCCTGAGCCCCCAGAACACCCCCGAGGGCTCTGGCACAGCCTCAGCCCTGTGCAGAGTGCAGATGTCTCCAGGGAAAAGGGGTTTTCCAGAGGGAGGGAGGCTGGGCAGCACCTGCCAAGAGACACGGAGTGAGGAAGGGATTCCTTGGAGCCCCGGTGGTGCCACAGAGAGCAGACAAGGAGGCAGAGCTTCAGGCCTGCAGCAGATAACACAGCTGGGAATGGGAGGGCCATGAGCTGGGGAAGGAGGTGAAGACAGGACAGAATCAAGTCCTGATTGTCCTTTCAGGTCTTTTCTAGTAGGAGGTGTCCTTGTCCATGGCAGGGTGGGAGGTGGATGGTCTTCAACACCCCTCCGAACCCAAACCCTTCCGTGATCCTGATCTCTGGAAGTTTCTGTCTCACCCTGTCAGACATTTCACAGGGGTTTGTGTTTGGGTGGTTTGGGTGCTCACATGTTTCACCTCCTCTCTTCTCACCCCTCCCTGAAGAGCCCCAGACAGACATTGGCCTGCCACGTGAGAGGCTGTCACGGGCAAAGGAGCTCAAGGAAAGAAAGAGGATCCTGAGGGAGAACCACCAGAATGCTGAGATGGAGCGAGCGGCACGGCTCCGGACTGGTCAGTGCCCCAGCAGTTCCCTTCCTGCTCCAGCTGCTCTGTGTGCCCAGCTGCTGCCTCTGCATCCTCCCTCTCTCCTTGCAGTGCTCATTCCCCTCGACGAGGTCAGGGCTGAGTGGGAGAGGACCAGTGGCCCGTTCCACAAGCAGCGCGTGGCCAAGCACTGCGGGGTGTTCCGGGACCTGTTCAAGGGGGCCACCTTCACCCCCTGGGTCGCCCTGAGGGTGCAGTACAGCCAGGAGGATGAGTACCTCGTGCCAGTCTACTATGGGAACATGGTGACTCCATCAGAGGTGAGAGAGGGGAGCTGGGAACAACTTGGAGCCCCTGGGAAGCCTCTTTCTGCCAGGTGCTTCCAACAGGCATGGTTCATTCCAGGGGATGCCTTTTACAAGGGTGTTTCCTCTGTGCTGAAGGAAAATAGTTTATGGATGTGATAGGGACAGAGATTGTAGGGTCTCTGGCAGGAGGCTGATGATTATTTATGCCCTGGTGGATTCCTCACTGGCCTGGCAGTGCCCAGTCTGTGTTGTGTCCAAACCTTGCCCAGACACAGTTCATGGAAGCTGTTGTGTGAGTGATTTACATTCTCTTTATGTTGCTCTTTCAGGCTGCCAGTCCCCCTGCAGTGTCGTACGAGGCAGACAAAGGCTCCCTCTGGACCTTGTTGCTCACAAATCCAGGTGAGCAGCGAGTTCTTTAAAGGAACATGTTTAAGCTGGGTTGTTTCACTCAGCTTTTGGTTAACTCCTGATTCTTTGGCTGCACAGAGATGATGAACACTGGAAGGGTTCAAGGCCAGGTTGGAGTAACCTGGTCTAGTGGAAGGTGTCCCTGCCCATGGTAGGGGGTGGGATGAGATGAGCTTTAAGGTCCCTTCCAGCCCAAACTCTGCTGTGATTCTATGATGTTATATCTGTTAGACTGGGACATGTTACATGTGGAGGAAAGATTGTAGCCTCCCCAAATCCATAGCAGTTGAGAGAAGGAACAGTGAAACAACAGGACCTGTGTCACAATGTAGAGGAGACAATTTCCTGACTGACATCTTTGTTTACCTCCAAACTCCTCTTCCTTGGCAGTCTGCCTGGAAGGCAGCTTTGCTGACACTGTTCACCTTGAGAAACCAAGGCACAGTGAAGGATGCAGCTGCCCAAGAAGATTTCAAGAATCTTGGAACTAGATCTGCAGAGTTCTTTGCTCCTTTTTTTAAACTCAGTCCTATAGCAATGAGTTCCTTTTCTGCTAGGGAAGGAACTCTGGGAGGTCTTGAGCTGCTCTCTCTGGTCAAAGCAGGTCTGGGCGTTCTCACTTCGGGGTGGATGCTGGCACCAGGGTGTCCCTAAGTCCCTTTTTCCTGTTGTGTGTTGGCAGATGGACATTTGAGGGATGCAGACTCGGAGTACCTCCACTGGCTGGTGTGAGTACATCAGAGCCAGGTGCTCTGTGCTTGTGGGCTGGGCACAAACCCCTCCAACAGCTCAGAATCCATGGCTTTTCCTGGTGCTCCTGCCATCAGCTCCTTTAGCCCTGTGTTCTGGGTCCTGCTAAGGATGCAGGAATTCCAGATGTTGCTGCTGTTCAGCATTCCAGTCACTGGGTGGGATTTTTCCTGTGGTGAAAGCAGTCTCTACTATCTATTCCCTTATCAAACGGGGCAGAAATCACATCACAGCATGGCAGAGTGATTTGCAGTCCTGGATGAATCTGCTGGAGGGAAATGAGTGTAAATGCGTTTGTGTTCAGGACCAACATCCCAGGCAGTGACGTCAAGGCTGGCAAGGAGATGTGCCACTACCTGCCCCCCTTCCCTGCCATGGGGACGGGCTACCACCGCTTCATCTTCCTGCTCTTCAAGCAACACGGTCCCGTGGACTTCAGCCAGGATGCTCGGCCCACGCCCTGGTAATTCCCCTGCTCACCTGCTGGGCTTGGCTGCTGCTGCTGCTTGTGGGGTTTGTGTGCCTGTCACTGCACTAGAGGAGCAGCTCCTGTCACTCTGCAGAGTTCTCCAGGGCTGCTTTGGGTTTGTGTGTACTCTGCAGCCACAATCCCAGCACTGCAGAGTCCTGTTGTTACAGAACAGGCTGTTAGAGAGTGGTTTGTCCTGCCCAGAAATGTGCATGGAGCTGGAGACACTGGGAGATTTCCCTTGGTGGCTTCCTTTTCCACCTCTGTCATATGCCCTGGGGTGATGTGGAGCAGGGTACTGCTGCAAGGAGAGGTTCACCTGGTGCTTGTGTCTTGTTTCCAGCTACAGCTTGAAGATGAGAACCTTTAGCACATTTGACTTCTACAAAAAGCATAAGGATGCAATGACCCCGGCAGGGCTGGCATTTTTCCAGTGTCAGTGGGACAGCTCTGTCACTTCCACCTTCCATCAGCTGCTCAGTAAGGAATGGGGACACTGGAGGGGGTCTGTGGGTGGGACATGGCCCTGTGGCTGCAGGCTCTCACTTGGTCTTGGCTAAGCCCTTCCTGAGCCATCCTCCTCCAAACTAACAGCAGCCTGAAGGAGCAACACCTAACCCTTGGCTGAGGATTTTAAAATAACTCCAAGGGTGTGTTTGAGCAGCCCTGGTCCTGTGTGGTGCAGGGGGGTGTGGGGTTCAGATGTGAGCCCCCCTGCTGACCTGTCACTCTCTGCAGACATGAGGGAGCCCGTGTTCGAGTTCGTGCGGCCGCCCCCCTACCACCCTCCGCAGGTGAAGTTCCCTCGGCACCAGCCCCTGAGGTACCTGGACAGGTACCGAGACACACAGGAGCCCACCTACGGCATCTACTAGGAGCTGGCCCCCTCTGTGTCCCTGGGATGCTGGCTCCTGGATTTCCTGTGCTCTCCTCAGTGCCTCAGGAGGGAAATGACAAAGTCTCAGCCCCTCAGCTCTCAGTTTGCCTGTGCTGGGAGCTGGCGTTGGGTGCTCACAGGACTGGCAGCTGCTTAATGAGAACATTCAAAGTGAATCCATGGCCAGGCTGAAACCTTGCTCCTGGTTCTGCAGCAGGGCTGAGCAGTGGCTGGCAGGCTGCATCTCCCCAGAGATGCTCTGCCTTGCTTCCCTGCAAGTATCACAGTTTCCGTTTTGCCTGTTTATGGAACAAACAGAGCCATGCCAGCCTGGATTTCCTCCTCTCACAGTGCTGCGGTTCAGGACTGTCAGATTTTATTTGTGCAGTCCTCCTGGAGAGATGAGTCTGATTAAACACTCTCTGAGCAGTGCTGGCAAAGCTGTCTTTATTGGGAAGAGCGTGTTACCCTGGACAGTTGGCCCAGAGCTGGGGAGCTCAGCAGGGTGCAGGGGAGATGGGCAACCCTTCCACTGGCCAGAGTCACTTCCATTCTTGGATGTTGTAGTTTGGGAATAGAGTGGTTACACAGGTGGTAAACCTGCACAAGGTCAGTGTTTGTGGAGGTGGTTTCAGCTACCCAAGCACGTGGACCTCAGCCTCCTTCTCCTGTCTCCCTGGACAGGACATAGGCATGGGCAGGTGAGCAGAAGCTGAGCTGCTGCTGGTGGTGACCTGGCAGTGCTGCTGCAGGTCCTGTTCCCAGGCCTTGGAGAGTGTCTGCTCCCTGCTCTGCTCCGCTGTGCATCTCCTGTTCACATGGATCCCCAAACACCAACATGTTCCTGCTGGTACAGCTGCCTCTTCCCAGCTCTGGTTCCCAGGGACTTTTTCTGAGGTTCTTTCTACCAGGAAATTGGAGTCTTCAGCAGACAGCTGAGATTGAGTTGAAGTGCTGCCTGTGCTCAGGGCTCTCACCAGTTACCCCTGAACTCCCCCCAGCCTGAAGGATTCTCAGGTCTGGTTTAAGCTGGACTGAGTGCACTGGGAGGTGCCCACAATGGGGACACAGGTTCCAGGCAGACACACAGGTCGTGTTAGCCTCTCTGGGCTTAAAATATTTGGTCAGAATTGGCAGCTGCAGCCCAAAGGAATGTTTTGGAGCTGAAACTTGCTGGGACACGCAGGGAGTTGTGACATATCCCAAGTCCTCTCCTGTGCTCAGGGGGGTGGCTCTGAGCCTGCCTGTGCTATGGAAGCTGGTCTGGATGATCCACCAGAGACCTGCTCCCTGTTTGCCTTCACCTGTGCAGGTGACAGGGAAGCTGCTCATGAGGGGAGGCTGGAAAAACAAGGCTGGGAACATGAGCAAGACAGCACATGGGCCTGGTACAGAGATAAGGCTTGGGCTGGGAAAACTGAAACTGAGCTGTGACAACAAGGGGAAGGTTTGCAGTCCCAGGCACTGCACTGGCCTCCGGGCAGGAGACTCCACCTGCCACCCGAGCAGGGACAGGTGGCCCACATGCCATCTTAATTGTATTTCAGAGTGCTGATGTGCACAGGTGTTGCAAGGAAATTCGTAGGAAAAGGTGGTGTGGGTGTGCATGGGGACATGGCAGACAGCAGCAGCTGTGGTTTAGAAGATGCAAGGGAAGAACATGGTGCTGGTGTGTGTCACAGCCTTGCCAGGGCACAGGGAGGTGACATGTGGCCACAGCAGCAGTGGGTGCCTCTGCTGGTTCCCAGCAGGAGCTCTGCACAGGTCTCTGTGCCAGGGGGACTGCCATGCTCAGCTCAGGGAGCCAGCCCTGGCAGAGCTGAGGATGCCTGGAAGTTCCCTCAAAAGACAATAAAGGAGTGAAAATCCAATTGCACATGGATGTGTGCCTGGCAAACGTGTTCATGGAAATGCACATTGCTCCGATCCCTGTCAGCCTCCTGCGTGTCTCGCTGTGCTGTCACTGCAGCATTCCATCCCCTCTGGAGTCTCCCACCGTGCTTCACAGCCGTCCCTCTCCGCGGGGAGCAGCTCCAGCCCTGCAGCCTGTGGCACAGCCCGTGTGACTTGGGGACAGCCAGCGGGTGTCACTTGAGGAGCGCGTCTGGCCGGGAGCCCTGCCCCGCCTCTGGGCACAGCGTCACCTCCTCCTCCTCCTCCTCTGCGAGTTTCTATTTCCCCGGCTTCTCGTCCCGATCTCCGGCGCAGGCAGGATGGCATCGCCCGTGTCGCAAAAGCTGGAGGAGAAGCTGGTGTGCTCCATCTGCCTGGAGCTGTTCAGGGTGCCCGTGACTTTGCCCTGCGGCCACAACTTCTGCAAGGGCTGCATCGGCGACCACTGGGACAAGCAAAGGCAGGCCGGGACCGACGCGAGCTGCACCTGCCCCGAGTGCCGCCGGGCCTTCGAGCGGTGCCTGGAGCTGGAGAAGAATGTCACCCTGCACAGCGTGGTGGAGCTGGCACGGGGCAGCGAGGAGCGGGGCTCGGCCGCGGGCCGGGGCTCGGCGGCGCCCGCCGAGCTGTGCCGGCAGCACGGGCGGCCGCTGGAGCTCTTCTGCCAGGACGAGAGGCGCTGCATCTGCTGCATCTGCACCCTCCGGGACTGCCGCCGGCACCGGAGGGTGCTCTTCGAGGAGGAGCGAGCCAAAAAGCAGGTGGGTGACACGGCTGGGGCCATGGGGGAACGGGGGGTGCTGTGACAGCTGGGGCACGCACGACATCCACCTCCACTGCCCCGTGTCCTGCTGCAGGGATGTGATGTGCCTCTGTGTGCCAGAGTGCCCAGCTTCAGCTGGACATGGGGCTGGCCAGGGGGGTGCCACCAGTGCCTGGCTGCTCCTTGAGAAACCAGGTGTTAGGAGCAGCAGTGAGCTGAGTAAATCCAGCAGCACGAGATGAACAGTGCCCTATGTGTTTATAACCCTCTGATCTAGAGGAAACAGCTAAAAAAGGGGTGAAAGGCAACACCAAAAATCACTTCTTTGTTATCCTGACACAGAGTCCCCTTCCCAAGCTGCCTCCTTCCCTGTAAGCCTTGTCCTGCAGTCCTGAGAGGGTCCTGGGGGCCAGGTGGGCAGCAGTGGGCTGGTCTGGATGTGCAACTGGACTTGACTGGGAGAAATGACTGGATATAAAACTCAGTGCTCTGGGCCAGTTGAGGGTGTTCAGTCATAGGCTGAACTCGAAGATCTTGGAGGTCTTTTCCAACTATAATATTCTATGTTGGTTCCTCCCTTCATAGACCTTTTTGAAAGAGTCCCTGGAAAAAGCCCAGGAGGAATCAGAGAGGATTGAGCTGGCAATGAAGGAGCTGGAGTTGCAGACAGAGAGCATCAAGGTAACACTGCAGCCTCCCTGTGCTGGCCTGTGGGTGGGAGCACACTGGTTCTCATGGCTCTTCCTGCCCAGGACTGCACCGAGCTCAAAGATGGGATTCAGAACAAATTCAACCACCTGAAGAAAGCTCTGGAGGATCTCAAGTGTCAGACAGTGGCCAGGATTGAGCAGGAGCAGGGGGCAGCCCTGGAGCGTGTGGACAGGAACTGGAACCTGTGCAAGGACCGCCTGGATGTCCTTGGCCAGCACAGGGAGAGGGCTCAGAGCCTGCTGGCCTGCCCTGACCACAGGACCTTCCTGCAGGTACCACCCTGGCACTGTCTCCTCCCGTTTGCTTGGGCCTGCACCCTTTTGATGACAGCAGAATCATGTCCAACCCATTCCCACTGGGAACGCATCCTCACTTTGGCTCAGGGATGTGCAGGGGCTGTGGGGAAGAGCTGTTTTTTGGGGGTCCCTGAAAAGTTGTGTGGGCAATGCTGGGATGCCCCTGTTGCCCACTGGGGAGACGTGGTGAGTGCAAGTGGGTTTGCACAATCCTCCCCAGACTGGTGCATGGTGTCTGTGTGTCTGTCCACAGGAGTTCCCCCTGCTCCCACCTCTGGAGAGCCCAGAGGCGCTGGTGCCCGTGGAGTTTGACATGGCTGCTGTGATCAAGCCCATCTCTGAGATCCTCACCAGCATCTCCAGGCTCCTGCTGGAGGACCTGCCTGCCTCTGTGGCCCCCAAAGCCCCCAGCCATGCTGGCCAAGGTAACCCTCCTGCTCTCAGGGGTACTTTGAAGGGCTCTGAGTCATCCTGAAGATGAGCCTGGCCTGTGTCACTGCTGGGGACACAGCTGCTGGGCACGGGGCTTTGGGATGGGACACATTTACTGGTCAGCAGATGAAGTGGGATGAGCAGAGTGGCCTCCCTGTGGCCCCTCCTTGCTGGGAATGCTGAACCATGGTGGCACATGCCTGCTCCCAGGTTTGGATACAATGCAGTTCCTCCTCCTTCTTCTTCTTTTCTTCCCATGAAGCCAGGAAGAAAGAAGTTTTTGGGTGGCAATACTCAAAATGCCTGTTTCCATCCTCCACAGGTCCAGTGCATACCCAGGAGCTGGCAGTGAAGGCTGTGGCCCCTCTCCCCAAGTGCCAGCTCCGAGCTGAGCTTCTGAAGGGTAAGGAGCACAGGGGGCCTGCAGGGACAGCCCTCACTGGGGTCCCCAGCAGGAAGAGATGTCACCAAGCCAGGCTCCTTCCCAGGAGGAGGGTGGTTGTGGCTGCAGGGACAGGGTCCTTCCCTGGTTCTTCCAGTGTGTCTCCCTAAATGCAGAGAAGGGTGGTGTAGGGGCAGGGTGGATGGGCTGGGATGGGAAAGGACCCACTAGGGGGATTAGCAGCACCAGGAAGTGTTTCCCATGGAACTGAGGCTGTCTGGTATTGGATCAGTCACTGCCCTGTATGGCATAGCCCCAGTCCAGGGCCCTGCCTGCAGTCAGTGCTCTCTATCCAGGGATATGGCCTCAGCATTCCTAGCTACAGTCCTTCATGTCCCCTTTCCTCCCCAGGCCAGCCCTCTCCTGCTTTTAGGAAATTCCTCTGTGCTCCTCTTCCCATCTCCTCCCTGTTGGGAAGAGGTTTGGGTAATGCTCAGGCCATGTTGGTCACATCACTCTTGCCAAGGAGGCAGTGGCTGCTTATGGGACCTGTAGGAATTCCTTCCTTCAGGCCCCACAGAACGTTCTTAGGGTTATTAATAGGAACCCCCTGTTATTTATGGGCAGCAGGCAGGAGCCCAGCCAGCTGCCAGACCCAGGTTCTGGAGGGGGAAGGTGGGGTGCTGGTGGCCAGGGAATGCCCATGGCAGGAGCTATCACAGCCCATGCAGAGGAGAGTAACTCCCTGCAATACCATATTTGCTCACTCAATACATGGTTTTCTCCCCTTCTCCCAACCCACACTGGTATTTTTTGCTCTTAAAACCAAGCACATCCCTGCCAAAATGGCCACAGAGCCACCCTGGTCACAATGGCCAGTGAGCTGGGTTGTGCAAGAACTGTGCAGAATCGTGTCTCAGTGCTCAACAGCTATTTCTGGGCTTTTCCATTTCCCCTAGGGCAGGTGTTGCATCCTCCCCATTACCCTTCCCTTCCAAACAACCATTCCCTTCTCTTTTGGGAGCCAGCCATACAGAATTTAAACCCCATCACTTCTGGGAGGGCATAAAGGTCTGATGAAGCATTTCATCCATGCCCTTGCTCCCCCCAGACCACCGCAACCTGACCTTCGACACCGAGACAGCCAACAAGTACCTGGAGCTGTCCAAAGGTGCCCACAGAGCCAAGCACAGCCCTGGCACCATCTCTGGGAAGGGGCAGGGCCCCCGCTTCGAGCCCTGGCAGGTGCTGTGCACGCAGAGCTGCGGCCCCGGCCGCCACTACTGGGAGGTGAAGATCTCCAGCCACTCTGTCATCCTGGGGGTCACCTACCGGGGGCTCCCCCAGGAGCAGCAGCAGGGTCACAGGTTCAACATCGGCCTGGATGGGGGCTCCTGGGGGCTGCAGGTGCTCGAGGATTGTTACCTGGCCTGGCACAAGGGCCACGCCCAGAAAATCCAGGAGCAGCTCTATAAGAACCTGGGGGTCAGCCTGGATTATGGCAAAGGGCTCCTCTCCTTCTATGGCCTCGGGGAGAAGACAAAACTCATCCACTCCTTCCACTGTGTGTTCACTGAGCCCCTGTACCCTGTGTTTTGGCTGTGTGAGAGGCGAGTGGTGACGCTGTGCCAGAGGGACTGAGCCAGAGCCACCGCGCTGAGCCACAGCCAGGCTGGTGCCAAGGTGGAGCTGCAGCTCAGGCTGTCATGGTGCAGTGGGGTCTCAGCGCTCAGGCAGGTGTGGAGTGCAGTGTTTTAACAAGAGCTGAGGGACAGACATGTAAATTAACCTGTTTGATTTGCATATGCAAATGTCACACTGGTGACACACGGCAGGGCTGGAGCTCACCGTGAGTGCCTCTCCCTGCAGACAGAGTAAAGGAATGGGGGATAAGGAGGGTGAAAAAAAAGAGATTTTCCTCTTTCTTCCATCCCTGCCAAATTTCCCAAACTTTGGGAAGGTTTGGATGAAGGGGACTCCAGAGGGAGGTGCTACTGCCACGGGATGCTCAATTCTGAGGGACCTCTGTGCTCACACAGCCTCACATGCAGGCAGGTCCTGCACCCCCCAGCCCCTTCTTGGTTCCCTCCTGCTGTTCTCAGACCTGGCAGAGCAACTTCTCAGGGTTCTACGCTGCAGCTCTTTGTACAATGCTGTTTTTCCTAATAAAGCTTTATTTTCTTACTGGTTTGACCTTGCTGCTGTTGGCAGATGTGGGACCCTGCAGCGCTGGGGATGGGAGGGAGCTGTGTACCCCTGCTGTCACAGCCATCCCTGCAGGGTCCCCTCCTGCCCCTCTGTGTCCCCTTGGGGCCTATGACCAACCCTTGGAGCAACCAGCAGGGCCAGAAGGTGCTTTATTTACTGTAGCACTGTGATAAGGAAAGCTGGTTTCCTACTGCTCTGCTCCAAGGTTGATTTGGCACAGAAGAAAATCCAAAGTTTTCATTGATGTTTTTCCAAGGGTGAGACTGCAGGTCCAACATCTCCTCCCACTCCTGTGGGAGTGCTGGTGAGGATTAACAGGGTGAAACTGGGCACTGGGTTCAAAAGTGCTGGGGATGTGAATGCCTGGGAAATGAATCACATCATTTTTTCCTTCAGGGACAAAAAACTTAAAAGGATCAATCCCCTTCTTCAAGAACAGATAGGATTTGTCTTGTGCTTCCTGCTTCACTCAACACCTCCCTGCTCCTCACAGCCCTGTCCTTGGGTGAGGCCTTGGGCCAGTATGTACCTGGGAATTTATCCAAGTCCAAAAATTGTCTGTGTATCCTGCACAGAAGGAGTCCAGGGATCTTCTGAGGCAGATCTTCACTCTAAAAGCACTTCAGGGTCTCCCAGCCCTCTGGTGCCTGCCAGTTCCTGCCAGACCCCAGAGAAAAAGGGGACAGTGGCTGAGCCAGGACCTGGGCACTGCAGCCCTCTTTGGCCGTGGGGAGGGCTGATGTAGATCCATGAACTCGAGGGCTGCCAGGAAAGCACCTGCACCTATGCACGGGGGGCTCAGGACCTTCCATGTGGCCCCAGGGTGGGGAGCAGTGGAGTTACAGCAGGTCCTGGATGGGGAAGGAATGCTCAAGGGGAGCAGCAGGTCCTTGGGAGGGGGACTGGAATGGGCTGGCAACACCTTCCCTGAATGGGAGATTCGGGAAAGGTCAGCAGCTTCCCTTGGGAGCTGGGGAGGGCCCAGATCCCAGATGGGCAGATCCTTTAGGAGGCGGCAGACCCTGGGTGGGGGCAGCACATCCTCAGCAGAGTGACATCCCCCCGGGGCTGATCTCCCTGAAGGCAGCGCATGCCAGGGAGAGGGACCAGATGGGAGCAGATCCCACTGGGGGCGAGACCCTTTCCAGGGCGGCGGGACCCGGTGCCGGGAGGATGCTGTGGGTCAGTGCCCCGAGGACCCAGCAGCGCCCCCGGCACGGCGGGGAGCGGAGCCCCGGCTGCGGTCGCGGGGAGGCGGAGCGGGCGGGCGGGGCGCGGCTGCCGCCCGCCTCCGCCGGGGCTGGGACCGGGGCCGGGGCCGGTCGGGGCGTTCAGGGATGGATGCTACGCCCGGGAGCGCCCCGTCGTCCTCCGCCGCGGCGTTCCGCCTGGCGCTGGCGGCTCCGGGGCTGCCCGAGGGTCCCCTCGGCTGCCCCATCTGCCTGGACGTGCTGCGGGACCCGGTGACGGTGCCGTGCGGGCACAACTTCTGCCAGGGCTGCTTGCAGGCGCTCCGCCAGCAGCCAGGCCCCCCCGACGGCGGCGGGGCGGGCGGGGCCGCCCGCTGCCCGCTGTGCCAGGAGCCCGTCCCCGCGGCCCTGCGCCTCTGCAAGAACCGCGCCCTGTGCGAGCTCCTGCCGCTGCTGGCGGCCGCCACCGGCGGCTCGTCCCCGACGTCCCCGGCAGCCGCGTCCCCGATGGCGCCGGGAGCCGAGGAGGAGGATGCTGCGGGGGAGGAAGGAGCGGCGGTGCTGTGCGATGTGTGCCCGCCCGGGTCCCGCGTGGCGGCCGAGCGCTCGTGCCTGGTGTGCCTGGCGTCCTTCTGCGGGCCGCACCTGGAGCCGCACCGGCGCGCCCCGGCGTTCCGCGCACACCGGCTGGTGGCCCCGCTGCGCCGGCTGGAGGAGGGGCTGTGCCCCCGCCACCTGCAGCCCCTCGACGGCTTCTGCCGCACCGAGCAGAGCTGTGTCTGCGCCCGCTGCCGCGCCCACGAGCATCGCGCCCACGACGTGGTGCCCCTCGAGCAGGAGCGGGAGCACAAGCAGGTGCGTGCGGTGGGGAGGGGCGCGGAGGTGCCCCCGCGGGCGGGAGCCTGGCGTGGGGGTGTCGTGGGTGCTCTGAGGCGCGGCATCCCTCGGAGGGGTTCATCCTGCGCCCACGGGGAGCCCCGTCCCCAGGTGGGGTGTGTGCAGGTGCAGCACTGCTGGGATGCCATGTAGGGGGGGTGCTGTACTCTCACCCCTCGGGGGGTCCCACCCCAACATATGGACAGGGTGCTGCGCCTTCAGGGAACCCCTGGGATTGGGACAGGATGGGCAGGTGGGGACGGGAATCGGGGCAGAGGCGCTGCCGGGCATCCCGTGGGGAGTCCTCCCGCTGCGGAGCCGAACTCGCGGTGCCGTGGGTGTAGGGCTGGGGCGAGGCTGCCCGGGACACCCCAGAGCGCCACCCCCGCGGTCCCGGGGCACCCGCCCTGCCCGTCCCGTTCCCACAGCTCCGTCGAGGCGGTTTTTCGCCCGCGCTGGCAGCCGGCCCGGCCGCCGCTCCCGCTCCCCCAGCCTTTTGTATCCTGCCGTTTGGCAGCGGGGCTTTTTCCATCACTCCCATTCCCAGATGTGACTGAGTCACCTCCTAAACTCACACCCACGAGCCTTCCCAGGAGCAGGAGCTCCAGTCCCAACGTGGTGCTGCTTTCCTGGGCACTGCTGCCTTGAAAGTGTGGGGCTTTGTGGGACTGCAGGCAGATTGGAGCCTGTGGTGGCATCTCGCATGGCCATGAGGCATTTGGAGACCTTGGGAGAGTTTGCCATTTCCAAGGAGGAGCCCAGCCCCACGCAGCACCCCAAGCCAGCTCCCCCTCCTGATGGGCTGCTAGGATTGCAGGAAAACCCTTTTATCGGCATTATTAGTCATGAGGTGCCTTAAAATAGAAAGTGTGTGTAATCCCAGCCCCGAGGAGCTGTCAGACCTCAGCAGGCGCTGCTTAATGTCGCCTGCAGGACCTCTGTGCCTGCCCTCGGCCACCGCCCTCGCACTGCGGGCTGGGGTGGATGCGCGGGGAAAGCACCTGTAGCTGCTCCCCGGGAACAAGCACTGCAGGGGCTGAGCATCAGCAGGGAGCTGTCTGGCTGGGGAGTGCCCTCCTGGCTCCCGAGGGACCCGTCCTCGTGATGGGCAATGGCTGAGCCAACAATAGCGTCTCAGGAAACGCCGTGTTCGGAAGGTGCTTCCGGAGCTGGGGCTTTGCTCCTAAACAGAAACCTCCAGGGGACTCTGTGCTGAGTTTCTCAGTGCTCCAGGCCTGCCTTTCAGCTTCTGCACCAAACTCAGGTGGATTTTTCCCAGCCCTGGGTACTCACTAAGAGCACTCTTAGCTTCAGTCACTGCCTGATGGGTTTGCTTTCAGATTCCTGTTTTGTTTGGTTCTTGCTGGGACCAGGGTAGGGAACATGGAGCTGGACATGACCCTTTCGTTTTCCAGCTGAGTGAGAAGGGATGTTTGCAGGTTGGATGTTGCAGGGAAGGAAAACAGGAAAACAACTCATGGTTCCCCTTGCATCCTTCACGCCAAGCCTGGTAGCAAGGCCATGGTCAGAGAGCGTCTGTGGATCGAGCTCAGGGAGAGGCTGAATGCCCTGTGGCTCCCACTGGGACTGGGGGTAAAGCTCAGTGTTTGTCCTTCATGTCTGCAGGCCCAGCAAGCCAAATTCCTCAGTGATGTGGAGAATGAGCTGGAGGAGCTGGCAGTCACCATCACCCAGGCCAAGAAGATGGTGGAGCTCATTAAGGTGACTCTGCAATGCCTTTGCTCTGTTAGTGCAGCTCTGCTGGGCTGGGGGTGGAGGAGAAGGGGCTGTGAGATTTTGGGGTGCATGGGCTGTAAAGATGGTGCTCACAGGAGCACCATGAAACTATGGAGATCCTGGCAGAGACCCCTGAGGATTCCTTCTCCTCATCCCTGCCAACACTCCTGGTGTCTCTGGTTGCTTTAATTTTTAACATGGAAGAAGGAACAGGGCAAGGGCCATGCCAGGGCATCCTCTGGCTCTTGCACCTTCTCTCCCCAGGCTCATGGGGGGGTTGTCCCCTTTGGTCCTTGTGCAAAAACGTCACTTTCCTGCTTGGGGACACCAAATGTGATGCAGCCTTAAGTGGCAGTGCCCAGCCAGGGCTCTTGAGAGCTGCACTGTGAAGTGATCTGAGTTCTTGGGTGAAGGGGGTGATGGAGTGTCAGGGGGATTCCACAGAGCTGAGAACTGGGTGCTGGGCAGGGCACAGGCGTGGCTCTCCTGGACCCTACCTGTGGGACCTGACCCCTCTCTCCCCGCACTCAGGGTGCTGCCACAAAGGAGAGGGAAAGGGTTGAGAAGCTCTTTGCAGAGGCCTCTGAGGTGCTGGCAGCCTTCCAGAAGGAGGTGACGGGATTCATCGAGGACGGGGAGCGCTCCATGCTGGGCGAGGCCGAGGCCGATCTGCGCTGGAAGGAGCAGAGACGAGCCAAGCTGGCACAGTGCAAGCAAAGCCTGGAGAGCGTCCCCAGCACCGACACCATCTACTTCCTCCAGGTGGGACGGGGCAAGAGGGAGCTGACAATGTTGTATTTTGGGCTTTTGTCTCATTTCCCGTGGAGCTGGGGGCCAGGAGCCCTGGGATGTGCAGGCTGCTGAGTCTCACTCTTGCTGGCACAGTCCTCTCCCCTCCCTTCTCCCAGGGGAACCAGGCAGCCAAGATTTTCCCCTCCATCACCACCACCTCTGTCCTGTCTGTGACTCAGGACAGGCTGATGTGTTGCCCAGAGGGGGTACCTGGGTGTGGGGGAGAGCAAGAGTTTGGGGTGCCCCACTGCCTCCTCCAGAATTCTCCCCGCTCCCTGACAGCCCAGCAAGAGGAGACATTTTAGGGAGGAGATGCTGCTCCGTGCGAGGTGGGCACGGTCTGAGTCCTGGTTTGAAAGGGAGTGAAGAGAAGGTGCCAGGAACACGTGGCTGGGAAAGAGCTCTCCTCCCTTATGCTGTCCTTGGGCCAAGTCCTGAGAGCTGCCAGATCCCAGATCCTCCAGGGCCGGGTGGGGTCCTGGAACAAGAGACAACTTTGGCTTGTTTGAAACCTCCTGAAACTCCGTCTTTTTTGGCTCAGGAATTTCAGGCCTTGAAAGCAGCCATGGAAGAAAACCTCTCTCCACCTTTGAGCTTCCAGAAAGAGCTGAACTTCACCAAGTGCACCCAAGCTGTGGGTGCCATGAAGGATGTGCTGTCCACTGCCTGCAAAAACCAGTGGAACCACTTGCAGGGGAAAGGAATTGATGGATTGAATTGCCAGGAGATGGAGGAAGGTTCGTGTTCACCCGGCCCCTCTGCCTGGATGGTTTCCTGTCCCTTTCCCTCTTCCCTGCGTGGGTGGGAGGTGGCTGCATGGCCCCTGTGAGCGCTGGCCCCTGTCCTTCCAGCCCTGGAAGCTGCTCAGCACGGGTTCCCTGCACGTTGCACAATCCCTGTCTGGGCTTACGCCTCTTTGAGGTTTTGTGAATTTTTCCACGGAGACTGGAGACTGGAGAAGCAACAAACAGCCTGGGAGTTAGGCAGGGCCCTGTGGGAGGGGGCAAGTGGCCAAAGTGGCCTCCTGTGAAAGGGGACTCTTCTTCCCAGGACAGACAATCCTCCTCATGGGGCAGACTGTGGGCTCCCAAACATGCCAGGGTTAGAGAGCTGATGTGGCAGCTCCCTCCCATGCTGTCTCATTTAACCTGAGCTCTCTCCTTTCACATTTTCTGGGATGCCCATGGGAATTGTAACCGGTTCCTTGCCCTGCTGCCCACCTCCCTGGGGTGACAAAAGTGACGTCTGTCCTTTCCTGTGTGGGAGCCACTGGGGATGTGCAGGGGGAGTGGGGATGCTGGCTGGGGCTGTGACAGCTCAGTGCCATCGGGGCAGGGGACAATGTTCCAGTAGCCCCCTTGGTGGTGGTTTGGTTCCTTTGCTGATGCAAACCCTTCTGTCCCTGTCTCTGCAGCGTTGGCTGAATCCCGATTTCCAGACAAGTCAAACAATCCTGCCTGCCTGGAGAGCCGTGATTATTTCCTGAAATGTAAGTGCGGTGTTGGAGCCCTGGGTACTGAGAGTTTTGGGCTTTCTGTGCTGAAAGGCACAGACCCTCAAAAGAACTCTACATTTAACCTGAGGCTGTGGAGAAAGGCTTCTAAAATTAAATAATAGAGCTAGGATTATGGGTGTGTGGTTTGAATAGAAGTGTGTAACATCACGTAGCAGAAAACTTAGAGTTTAAGGTTTTAGAGTATAATAATATATATAAAGCTAAGATGGAAGCTTTAAGGCAGTGATTAGTCTTTCTTCTTCACCTTCTTCTCCATGGGTTTAAGTGGTATTTTATTTATTTTGGTGGGTGACTTCTGCTTTGGGTTGTTGCTAAGGCCCATCTTCCCTTTCCTCTCTCCTTCCCGCCTGCCTGGCGCTGATCCAGCGGCTGCGGGAGCGCTGCCACCAGCAGAGGAAATTCTGCTTGGCTAACAGGGAGGCCTCCTGCCTTTCCTGACAACAGTCAGAGCCTGGTTAGGTGATGGACTTTTTCCCTTGTCTGTGGTTCTGCTGGCCCAGCTGCCCCAGGGGCGCTGCAGGCGTCCTGTGTAATTCCTGCTGCTTTCCAGCCCTTGGCAAGTTGGATCCTCTTTAAATTAGATCAGAGCTTGTGTGTTGTGTTTGTCTGCCTTGTTTGCTGCAGGACTCTGGGCTGGTGAGGGTTGTCTGCAGCAGCAGAATGACAGGGATCATGCAGTGGTGGAGCAGAGTGGGGCAGGAGAGGCTGAGGCTGGAGGGTGCAGGGCTGGGCTTGAGCTCCCACACCCTACCTGTGTGTCCCCAGCCTTACAGGGGATATGGGGTCACCTGCTGACATGTCCTTAGGGGAAAAGATCTGCCTCAGTGGCACAGAGCAGCAAAATCTGGCCTCCAGGAGGGTGTGCTCTTGTGCTGTCACACTGGGACATGCCATGGTCCACACTGCCATTCAGCTGATAGTGATCCATGCCCAGGGTTGTTCCCTGGAAGAACTTCCTTGGGCATCCCCTCTGTTTGGGATCCATCAGTGGCTCTCACATGGCCCATGGCTGCACTTGCCAGAGGCTGCCTGTTTGCAGCTGTGGCATACCTGGCTGTTCTCTCTTCTTGGGGTCTCAACTGCATTTATTTGTGGTTACCTGAAATATGTTTTTATGTGAGATTTCCTTATCACCAGTCTGTCAGGTGGATTCTCCAATGTCTGGTATCACGGTTGAGCTCCTCAAGCAGCCCCTCTGCCCTCTCCTCTGCCCAGTACCCTGTATTCATCCTGCTTATGGGGTATCAGCTCTTTCAGCCTTTCATCCTCATTGACTGAAATTTGCCGTGGGACTTAAAAGCAAGGGGACAGAGTGATGGGAAGGGTCAGAAAGGATCATGCTCATCATCAAAGGCTGGGGCAGGGAGGATTTCCTTGCACTTCCCTCCACATGCTCACTCCTCCCTCTTGCCCCACACAGTTGCCTTCATCATCGACCTGGACAGTGACACAGCTGACAAATTCATCCAGCTGTTCGGCACCAAGGGGGCCAAGCGGGTGCTGTGCCCCATCCCCTACCCGGAGAGCCCCACCCGCTTCATCAACTGCGAGCAGGTGCTGGGTTTGAACCTCATGAACAGGGGCAACTACTACTGGGAGGTGGAGCTGATCGACGGCTGGGTGAGCATCGGGGTCATCGCCGAGGACTTCGACCCGCGGGAGGCCTACAACCACGGCCGCCTGGGCAGGAACGACAGGTCCTGCTGCCTGCAGTGGAACGGCCAGAACTACGTGGCCTGGTTTGGTGGCTTTGAGCGTGCCATCCAGCAGCCCTTCTTCCACACCATCGGCGTCTTCCTGGAGTATTCGGAGAAGGCTTTAACCTTCTACGGAGTCAAGGACTCCAAAATGACCTGCCTGCAGCAGCTCAAGGTCTCCTCTTCTGCCAAGGGGAAGCTTGACCCGTTACAGAACAGGATCAACCGGCAGTTTGGCTCTCTTTTCTCGTGCAAGCTGAAGCCAGCCTTCTTCCTGGAGAGCGTGGATGCCCACCTGCAGATCGGGCCGCTGAAGAAGGACTGTGTGTCGGTGCTGAAGCGCCGGTGACTGCCCGGGGAGAGGGGCACGGACAGACCCACAGAAGTCTCTCCTGCAGGTTATTGCCACCTCTCCTTGGTAGCCCTGTGTGTGTCTGTGGCAGCCCTCCCTCCTCTCTGCGCTGTTGGGGACCCAGGGCTGGATGGAGCCTCCTGATGGGCAGGGCTGGGGGCCAGGATGGGGCTGGGTCCGAGTGCCAGCTCTGCCGCTGAGTGAGCTTGGGCCAGTCCCTGCGCTGCTCCCTGCCCCTCAGCTTCCCTTTCTGGACATCAGGGACTGCCACAGCCTTTCTTGGTAAAGTGTGCTGCTCAGAAGTGCCACATGGATTTGGAGCTGTGCCTTGGCCACCTGCCCAGTCCCTCTGCTTCACCTCTGCTCACTCTGCCCCGGCGACTTGTGCAGATGCTTTGTGCCTTATCTCAGGCTCTGTTCCTGATGCTTTTTTAAGTGCTGCCTCGTTGACACCTTCTGCATGCTCCTCACAAAGTGCCTTTGGTGGAGCAAGCCCTCTGTGGACAGGTGAACCCCCAAGGCAGACGTGGTCACTTCCCATCCCCTCTGTGCCCTGGCATGGGCGAGTTGGTGCTCCAGGGAGAGGGATGTGGAGGAGCCTGGCTGGGTGCTGGGGCGATGCTGGAGTGATGCAGCACCTCTCCTTGCAGGGCTGCCCACCCATTAGTGCTGCAAATGTGAAACAAGGATCTCTGCCCAGCTGGGAAAGGGAGAAACCTCCTGCTGAGAAGCAGCACAACTGTTCCCAGCTGGAGATGGGGAAGGGAACAGCACAAGCCAAGTTTTGAGGATGTGCTTTAAGTAAACACATTCTTTGGTAACTCCTAGCAAAGCTTCGCAGCCAAATTTTCCCCCATGTTTTTGAAGGCACCGCTGTTCTCTGGGATTTTAGTACTGTTAAATGACCAACTCTTCAAGAACCCTGGGCAAGAACCCTGAACCCTCTTCAAGAACTTGAGCTGAAAATCTGCCCCTTAGCTTAGGGATTTTTAAGTGACAGAGGTGCTGTGAATATGTCCCAGAGATAAATGGTCTGGTTTAGTTTCTAGGACAGCTGTGCCTCGATAAAGGTGCAGCATCAGTCAGCTACTAAATGACCCTTTAGACTCTGGGAATAAGTAACAATTAACAAAAACTACTCTCAAGCAAAGGGGAACACTGTTCCCTTCAGGAAAGGTGGAAACTTGGGGCTGAGAGACAAAACTGCCAGTTCACGTGTCCTAAGGGAGCTTTTTCAGAAGGAAAACAGAGAAATACTGCCTGTGAGAGCGGCACAGAGCAGCCCCTGTCTCAGCACAGCGTGCCTTTCCACAAGTTTATTTTTTCTGGGGTTATTTTGCTACCTACCTCCCAAAGCCTGCTTTACAGAACCGTGGTGCTGTGTAATGTACATCTGGAGAGAAAATACAGAGGGTCAGGTTCTTCACTGGCATGAGTGAGTCAGGGATGATGCAACAACCAGCAGGAATAATAAACAGCCCATTCAGCTAAATATATGATATATATATATTTTTTTTTTCCCCAAAGGATAAGATGGAAATCATAGTGCTATATTCAAGTGGAGCCAAGGGAAAAATGTGAATAAAAGGCAGGCACAAAGCTGGCAGGTTTGAAATTAAAGCCACGTTTACACGCTGAGGCTCAAAGAGCTCCTTTACTTGACTCCTTTGCCAGAACTGCCAGTTTCTGGTGGTGCAGAAAGAGCTGCCAGTGCCCTGAAAACTGGGATATTTTAGTGGATGAAGGGTCTGAATGCAGCCACCCCTTTCCCTGGGGCAAGGCTGGTGAGTCAGTTTGGGAAGGGGCTTGCTGGGATCTGTCTGCAAATTCCTCCTCCTCCTCCCCTGCATGAGGTTTCTCCTAAACTGCTGCGAGCAGTGGGAAAAGGAACAGTAGGGCTTCCAGAATGAAATCTTCAGCTGAAATCTTGGCCTTTCCTGGCTGGTGGGAATGCTGCCCAGACTTCTGTCCGGATGGGAATTCATTCCCTGCGTCCTGAGCTCCAAACCCTCTTTGTTTGGCTGGCGCCAGCGGCCCCTGCAGAGCTCAGCCCTTGCACGAGATGTCAGCGGTGACACAGAGCAGGCTGCTCAGCACAGGGGCACAACATGCTGTCAGGAGCTCCTGGAGGGATGGGAACTGCAGAGCTGTGCCCCAGCACGGTCACATCCTGGCCGGACAGGGAAGGGAAGGAACTTTGTCTCTGCAGGAAGAGATCTCTCCCAGGTGGGGCCACGTCTGCGCCCTAAATCTCATTTATTCAGGCTGAACTCGCACAGTTTGCAGCGAGGAGTTTTGCCAGGGTAAACACAGCAGAACTGGGTCTTTGCCCTGTTTGGTTTCGCTGTAGGTGGATTGATTGCTCCAAGGGGAAACCCATGCTGGAGCCACTCATCCCACCCTTTTCCACGTTCCCAACGCACAGACACAAACCTCTGACCTCCTTCAGGGCTCGGGAGGCTCAGAGGGATCCTCTCTTTCCCTCTTTCCATCCTGCCACCACGTGGGAGCAGCTCAGGAGGCCCCTGGGTGTCTGGGCATGGTGCGGGGTTGTGCTGCTGCTTTGGGGGGATTCACGGATGCAGCTCCACGGAGGATGTGCCGCAGTTGGGAAGTGCCCAAGCCTCTCTTTCCTGCTTGCTTTTATCCTGGTTGGGAGAGCTAAAACCCCTCCTGCTTTAGGGATGGTGTAAAATAGGAGCAATCCCCTCAGGAGCTGGGTCAGAGTTTGCCCTGTGCTGCCAGGAATTTGTAAACTGGAACAACCAGGGAGTGTGCGCTGTGCCAGCTCTGGATTTTGCTGTAAACAAAGGGTTAAAAGCAAGGTGAGATGGGTTGGGATGGATTGATAACACTTGGCAATTTAAACAGCCTTTCCTTGTTCCCTTGGGTTATTTCTGCTGTCACAGAGTGTTCCTCTTTTTAATTAGGATTTTTTAAATACAGTAACTGTAGGGTGTTTTACAGTGTGTGAAAAAACTGTAACAGAATAATGTAACGGTGTTAGAGACTATGATTTGACCATTAAATATGATACAGTCATTGCCCTGGGTTGTCTTTCCTTTAAATACCAAACCATTTGACTTGTCCCATTATCTCGTGTTTACTTTTCTGAGTCCTGCACATCTGGCATAAAATAAGACAGATTTTATTTTCCCAGTGTGTCCAAGGGAATTCTGCCACATACACTTTTTTTATTGCAAAAGGAGTGGAAGAACCTTAAAATCCAATGATAATTGCCAGCCCTGGGCAATTCAAAACAATGAATTGTCTCAGTTCTCTCTGCTATGCCTGTCCTCATCCTACAAATAAAAAAGATTATCAGATTAGCTATTTTTTCCTTAGTGTTTTTAAGTTTTAGGGTATAACTTTCCAAGGTTTTCTGTGTGATGAGGAGGTTTAGAGCTTCACACACACACTGGCAATTACAGCAGCATCTTTTTAAAGTGAAGGGTGCTTTTCTTAATCGCAAATGTCAGTTGGAGTTAGGATAAAAATGTTATTTGTTGAGCCTTAGTTCATGTGAGGTGCCAATGCTCCATCTGGGCATTTCGGTGGAAGCCGAGTGCATTCTGCTCCTGACTTTAATAGGAGAAGAATCAGAACTGTTTGTTATGGCTGTTTCTTAAAAGGGAAACTTACTGCTTATTGAAAAAGCGGATATGAAAAGCACAAACTTGTTCTTTTCCTGCCAAGAAACCATACAGATTATGTCACTGCATTTATTTAAATCTGGTTTCCATTATGTCGTTTTTCTGCTTTCCCCCCCCTACCCGCGTCTGGTTCTCAGACAGGGCTGGGCTGCAAATCCAGGGAATAGCTCAGATCCATTAAAAATCTGTAATAGAGGGTAATACCTGCTCTTATTTGTATATTATTAATATACAGCTGTCGGTTATTGATCTGAGGGAGTCCTTCAGGCAGTATTGCAGGGTTCCTATTTTTAATGAAGTTATGCAGTCATTAATTTTTTTTAATTCCTCCTACTTGCACACCTGGAGGTGAGGGTTTAGACCCTTCCTGCAGATCTGCAGATGCCACAGCTGTTTTCTTGCTCCCAGATTCCTGACAGACGGACACACAGACACTGTCCTGGCTTGTTTACAGGGAAACCAGTTAGTCCTTCTAGTTTAACACACTTCAGTATAAACGGGTAATTTTTTGGATGTGCTGGATTCCACCACTGAAAGCAGCCAATAACAGGATCAAAAATCTGTTTGCAAGTGTGCGAAACAGGAAATGCACATCAAGTGGGAATTTAAAAAATCGTGGGAAATGAAGCATCTTCGCCGTTTAAGGGGCTAAACCTCAATTCATGTGCAGAACCGCCAGATATCCGGGATTATTTTTATTTTACTCCACCAAACAGCACAATTATAGAGAGACAGGGTGCCGGGCCCTGAGGCGGGGAAGGGGGACATCATGGCGGCCGGCCTACAACTCCCAGCATGCACCGCGTGGCCGACACGGAGAGTGTTAATACCGTACATGGAGGGACTACAGCTCCCGGAATGCTCCGCGCGAGCAAATGGCGCAATGGTAAGGTGATGCGAGGTGGACTGCAACTCCCAGCATGCACCACGCGAGGAAACAGAAGTGACCCAATCCATTCATGGCGATGACTACAACTCCCAGCACGCCACTCGGTCCCATTGACGGCGCACCATTTTCCCGCGCAGGCGCGGAGCGGGGTCGATGCTGTGAGGAGGCGGAGGAGGCGGCGATGGCGCTCAACAAGAACCACTCGGAGGGCGGCGGCGTCATCGTTAACAACAGCGAGAAGTGAGGTGCTATCCCCTTCTCCCCTCCTCCGGCCTCGGGAGCCGGGGGGATAGCGGCGAGTTGCCTTCTCCCCCCGTCCCCCTCCTGCCTTTCCCCTCAGGGGGAGCGGCTGTGTGGGTCATGGGGGGGCGGGCTGAGGGGGCGAGGCGGGTAAAGGGGGTGGTGTAACCCTCTCGGTGCCGGCGTTGCTCGTCCTCCCCTCATCTCCGTACAGCACAGTGGCTGTACGTATCCTCCTGCCCCAGGGCCTGTCGAGGGAAGCTCTGCTGGGCTTCAGCCGCGGGCTTTGCCCCCCTACACCGCTTCCCTCAGCATCCAGCCTGTCCCCCAGCCTGCTGCTGGCACTTGCTGCTGTCCCCACCCTCTTCCCCGAGGCTGGGAAAGGCTGGCAGAGCTCAGCTCCCGCCCAGGTGATCTGGCTGGGCCCAGGCCTCTCCCCTCGGGGAGGCTGCACCTGCATCGCGCCTCAGCGCCGTGCGGTTTGCCGGTTCCCGGAGCACAGCCCCCTTTCTGTGTGCGCGGGAGGGAGCAACAGCCTTGGGAAAAGGCGCTGGGATATAACCATGGAAACGGCAAGGCTGCACAGAGCTGCCTCTGTCTGCATGGCAAAGGGCTGTCCGCACCCGCTGGCTGCCAGCGTGCTTCTGACGTGGCAGTCATCTGCTTCGGGGACAAAGGAGTGCTTCATCCTCCAGCGCTGCTTTCCACGGGCCACTTAGACACTGATGTAGGAATTCTGTGCCTGGCTTCCATTTGGGATGTGGCTTTTCTTAGAAGGCTTTAGTAGGATCAACTCAGGTACTTGAATTGGCGTTCCCTGAGAGAATGGGAGCTGAAGGTGTTGCTGTTCCCAGCTGCCAGCCTGCCTTGCATCAGGGCCTGCCTGGCCCTGGGCTGATCCAGCTGAAATGCTGCAGGTTGAGGAGAGCTGCTCCCACTGCCCTTCCCGAGCTGCTCCTGGAGGTATTTAGTGGCAAATGAGGATGGAAACATGTCAGCTGCCAAAGATAGAGGTGGTGGAGATTTCTGCAGCTTTAGGGATTAGAGTCCCTAATGTGGATGCTGTAATGTCAGTACAAGTTACCTGCTGTGTCCAAAGGTTTTAATCGGGTCAGTTTGTAATTGAGAATTAAGGAATCAGTGCAGGCAACACGAGTTAATGAAATCTTGTGGCAAGGAAGGGGAGTTCCTCTGGATCACTTTTTTGTGTCAGAGGTGCTTGAGCTGTGGTGAGACCTTCAACAGCCGTGTTGCATAAGCCAGCCTGAGCAGTTCCTTCTCCTGCAGTCCTTCCTCTGTCCTGTCGCTCGTGGACAACTGGGTTAGGGAGCTGATCCAGCAGAAATGCAAAACAATTTAAAACGAAAACAGAAAAAGGTCTTGAGATTTTGATCAGCTCAATTGACCAGGTTGTGCAGACAGCAGCAGCAGCTGTGTCAGCACTCTGGGAAGGGAACGAGCAGCCAGTGCTACTTCAGTTGCTGCTGCCAACAACAACAACAAAAAAAGGCAAACCAGAACTGATTCTGTCTGCTCAGCATCTCCATCAGTGCTGAGGTTACAGGTGGTTTTGGCAGGTCAGTAAGCTTCTGTGCATTTCTGCCCTGAGCTGTAACTGCTGTCCCTTGTGTCACTGTTGGCAGTGTTTTGATGACCTATGACCACGTGGAAATCACCTTCAGTGATCTGGAGCCGATGCCAGAGGCCTTCAAGGGCACCAAGAAAGGGAGTGTGTTCCTGACTCCCTACCGGGTGAGTGGTGAAAGGCTTTATCTTGTCTAAGGAGGTAACAGCCCTGGAGTCTGCATTTAAATGTCCTCAGTGTATGAAAGTCAGGATATTCTACTCCTCCTTGAAGTGTGGCTCATCCTCTCCCTCTGGGAGGCATTATGAATTCATGGCATATCCCATCTATTTGTCAACAGATAATAAATCTGATTAGTTCTTGTACAGGCAGCTGTTTAGTCCATCAGGCATCTTCAAACTGGAAATTAGCAGTGGTCTGGAAATGCTGAATGCAACAGCACAGCTACTAAATCACAGTGTGTGGAGCAGCATGTTCTCTGGAAGCTGGGAGGAGCATTATCTGAGCAAGGGACTTCCTGGAAGGCTTTAGTACCTTGAGGATTTGGTTTACCCCTGTGGCTGTTGTGTGTAGCTTTTGGTTTGTGGAACTGGTGATGTGGGAGGGAGTTTCAGTCCACAAAGAAATCTGTTCATACAATAAATCAGAGCTGTGTTTCCTGTTTGTTTTGACTAGCTCTTGTAATGTTATTTTCTTTCAGGTTATCTTTGTGTCAAAGGGGAAGGATGCTATGCAGTCATTTGTGATGCCCTTTTATTTGTTGAAGGATTGTGAGATTAAGCAGCCAGTCTTTGGAGCAAATTACATCAAGGGCACAGTGAAAGCAGAGGCAGGAGGTAGGTAGTACATAGTGATGCTCTGTGTCTCAGTTCAGCTGCTCACTTCATAGCAAAATCCTGGCTAACCAAACCTTGACACTGTCCAAATGGGTTTTCACACTCCTGTGAAAATGTGTTTCTTTCATTGGCAGCTAAAAACATTTCCCTTACCAGCTCCCTGTTCAGCTACAATGAGCAGATGTGCTCTGCAACCCATCTCATTCCTGCCCTCTGCAAAATATAAAGTTCAATCAAACAAGTGATCTCAGCAAATAAACATCAGAGTGGAGTCAGCAAGAATGAAGATGTAATTTTGCTTTGGTTACTTGGGATCACCTATCCCACCTGCATCCAGGTTCTCCTGTGCCAAAAACTCAGATCCTTTCTGGCTCTCTTTGGGTTCAGGTGCAGAGCATTTTCTCCATTGTGTTTCTTGTGCAGTTCAGGGACAGCTGTGGTATTGCTGTAGTGCATCCTGGCAGTGAAAACGGCACTTGGAAGGGAATGGATTATCTTGAAATCCGGGAATTTAAGGAGCTGTTTCACATTAAACTCAGTGAGAAGGCTGTGGCAGACATTTTAAAAATAATTTTGGTTTTGACTGATTTTTTTACCGAAGGCACAGAGTTCAGCAAACTTTCATCCTCAGCTTGATTCAGTCTAGCAGTTGTGGCACAGAAATGACAGCACAGGGTGTAAGAGCCTTCAGCTGGAGTTCTGAAGTCAGCATTGCAGCTTCTGCATGGGAGCTGAGTGGGACCATCCAGCATGAGAGGGAGCCTGAGCATTAATGACAAACTAAACTGTGTGAAAGGCAAAAGGCTTTAGCTGAATCTTTGTTAATTTTCCCCAGAGGCCATCTCTTTTAATGATGATGTTGTCTTAACAGCCATGAGAGTCTGGTTTAGCTTAAAAGGCTCTTTTATCTATTTGTTTCTGTTTCAGCACAGCTTCTGCTTTGATGCTTTCTTGGGACTCTGGACTGTGCATGTTTTTCTTTTTTATACTATAATGTGAGATGTCACTAATTTATTTGTTTTCTAATTATTATTTATCCTGACTTGAAATACCTTCCATGGGCTCTAATGGATTTATGTGGACCATGTTTTTCATTAAGCTCTTT